TCAATGGCCATTAATAATGTTGGCACTATTTTGTTTTCCAGAACTACTATTCACTGCTTTGACGTTACTTTGTGAAAAATATGGCTCTGGCGGAATTCTTCGGTATTCCAAAGCAGTGAAGTGGACGCTTTTGGGAAGGTGAACTCGGATGGGGCCCATAATGTTTCTTCAGGTTTGGCATCTGCGGGTGGGTTGCTTCGAGATTCCAATGGTGCATGGATGGGTGGTTTTGTGATGATGATTAGAGAATGCTCTATTATGGGGGCTGAATTATGGGGATTATTTCAGGGCCTTACTGTGGTATGGAATCTCGGATACCGTCGAGTGGAGGCGGAGGTAGACAATTCACGAGTCGTGTGATTTGCTATGAATACTGAGGAGATAACAGGGGTTCATTATGGGTTAGTTCTGGAAATACGTGAGATCCTTAGTCGTGACTGACAGGTGCGGATTACCCACATCTTCCGTGAGGCTAATTTTGCGGCGGACTATCTAGCAACTTTGGCGGCTTCGGTACCTCTTGGATGTCACCTGCTCTCTATTCCGCCTTTTGGTGTCGTTCCGTGAATTGAGCACGACTTGAGGGGTGTTTCCTATTCAAAGAATGTTTGCATCTCTGGTGAATAACTGCTTTCTTTGTAAAAAAAAAATAAAAAAATTCATGATCGATATCTATCCATAATGCATTATGGACCCAAAATAATTAGGTGAGGACGAATACATAAGCTGGAATTATAAAAATATGAAACAATGATGACTATGTATGCTACAAGTTGGATGTAATGAAATATGTCAATAAACTAATGAATGTATATGAAAAAGTGATCGAATATGATATTCATGATCATTAGTTTACTTGCATATTTCACCCTTCAATTAATATGACTAATATACATGAAATGATCATGAATACACAAATTATATATGCATTGAATATCGAATTGATGTATAGAACTATGTAATTTCCATCGCCAGTTGAAAAGAAAAAAAAAGTTCAAGGCACAAAACTTCAGATATAATGAAAAATCCAAGTAAAAAAATCATAATTTTAATACACAAGTATTAAATGACAAATATAACATGACAAGAGTATTGTACTTAAAAAAATTCAATTCATTTTTATACAGTAGAAATATAAAACTCTACCTGACAACTCATGGCATAAACTCATTTGAATGGAGTAAATCACTCCGCATCAGCTTTGGCTCGCCCATCATCGACCTGAATTTGTGTAATATAGTTGATTAATATATGTCTTTTATCAACAACAAATGACTATCATGAAGACAATTTATATATTTTATTATAATTTATATATGGAACTCTTTAATTTTGACTCTGTACAAATAAGATCTTTGATCAGGAAGAATATAATCTGTGTGCTGCTAATTAAAATTATGTGCTCACGATTCTATTCTAATTTTTCAATGCCTCTTGCATATTTTCTTCTGAATTTGAATTTTAAAATCAAGTACCCTGTTTTGTGTGGTTCTCACCAAAAGAGTTACAAGAATTTAAAAGGGAAAATAATGTATAGAGATAATCCATTAATCCAACCTTGATCATCAAACACTGGATTATCACAAGATTAGTGGTCTTATCCCCTCCTATCACGTAAAACAAACATGGCCCAATTGTCGGCTCTAGCTGAAAGCCCGAGGATAATCCTCTGTTATAGGAGTTATATAACAGCTATATACATTGACTTCAACAATCAAGTAACCTTACAACATTTCAATTAACTACCAATGCAATACAAAATGGTGATCTTAAGTATTCTTTATAACTGAAATAGTGAAATTATAAAAATTAGACTCTCTTACCTAGTTGTGCTACATTAGTAAAACTTGGGCCACCTGTATGATAAAGTTGTGGGCTAAAAGTTGTGTTGGAAAAAGTTGTGGAATTGGTTTTGGATTTGGACCGTGGATCTTGGTTATATGTTCTTGATACTTGACAATTTAATTGTACGCTGGTTTTGAGCGGTCTTCAATAGTTTGGGGCGATGTTGGGCTTGGGCATAGGGCTCAGCTCTTTATTTTTTTGTTGCAAATATATTTGCAATTCTCTGGCCCAGAATGAAATTTAATTGAAGTTAGATTTTGACCCAACCCGTGTGACTATTATAAGATGTCATTTAGCTGAACATGTTAACTCCACCTAACAATTTTAGGGCTCGTTTTGGTATTGGGNTTTTTTTTTTTTCGAAACGATAGAGATTTTTATATAAAAGTGCACAAATGTGCAAAAGATACATCCACGAGCTGAATATAGACAGCCAATAGCCGAATACAAGCAGCCAACAGCAGAAAAAAACTGGGAGGACAGGGCCGAAACCCGCCTAGAACCGACCCCAACGGGGTAATACTCGGACCTAGAAACTAAACACTACAACACTGAAAACTCCCAATGGGAGAAAAAACAAACAAAACAACAAGACCCCAATAGGGTAATGCTCGAGTGTGTGGTCCCAACAGGATAATAAAGTCACACTCAAGCTAACCGAGGCAAAAAGCCCAAACCTAAAACACAAATAACACAAGACAAGGACAAGACAAAGCAACACACAAAAACAACAACACAACCTAAATAAACATAATCAACAGTAATTTATGCCGCCCTCAGCTACAACATCCAGGAAAGACAGCAGACAAAGCCAGCTCCGAGGAGAGCTCCGAAGCTCTGGAACCCCGCCCGCCACTGCATAAGGCCTAGCAAGACGAAGACCTTAGCCTCTGAACAAACCAAAAGATACCAACCCGCACACCGACCGCAAGAAGTCACAATCGCCCCCCAACCGGCTAACACCACTAGCCAATCCAAAACCGTCCCAAAGTTGCCTAACACCACTAGCCAGCTCCGGGAACAGACGGCCTCCTACAAGCTCGAAAACCGAGCTAGAGTAGGAAGGGGCGAATGACCTCAAGGCTCAGCCGCATCTGCCGTACTCAACGGAACAAACTCAACTCGAACCAAACACCTATCCACCCAGCCCGCAAGGACGAATCCCGACCCACCACTCCAACACAGTTGAGGTGCCAGGAGCCAGACTCCGGCCAAACCCGAAGACCCGCAATCAGGATATCCTATCAGCCCGGCAGTAGGAGCCGATCCAACCACAGCTCGTATCCAACCTCCCCACTCAGACCCTAGGAACGGGCCGCAGCCCTCCCGCTGCCTCGCCATTACGCCGGCCAACAGAAAGCCAGACTGAGACCCTGCAACATCACAATACCAAAAAAGTACCACAAAAGCGATGATAGATTTTAAAGTTGAGGCCTTGAGGGCAGTTGAATAATTTTCAGTCCATTAAAGTTGGGGACAATTAAATCCCACCTGTTGTGCCTTAGACAGAATTATCACCAAAAGTGATGATAAATTTTAAAACCCATCAGGCTGAGGATTCATAATCGGGCCGCAATCATTCCAAAAAACAAAGAATTGGGTTGTTCTAGCTGAGATATCTAAGCTAATCTTCCAAAGTAAACGAGCCTTCAAAGATTAACAGGTAGAGTAAGTCATGAAATAACACATAAAAACAACATGTTACACCATTTTGTACTTATTATATTAACCATTAGTTGATTGTTACCTACCATGAGCAGTTGCTTGAACCTGCTGGGTGGCAGTCCTATAAATAGGATATTCTAGAGTTGGAGAAGAAGATACTCATACATCATCCGAACTCTTGAATTTCTTAAAGTCTCACGCATCACAAAAATAATTGTGCTCAATTATTGCTTCGTTCAATTTCATTGGAGCTTAGAAGTTTGAAAGTGCTATAGCTTTTGACAAGTAATCATTGTATCTTTGAGGACGAGACACATTAATCAGTCAACAATTCAACATATTACGAGACATATTCGTCTTGCAGTATAAGCGACTCTTGTCTAGGCTTATTCTCTTCCCGCATACAAGCTTAATTTATCATGTTATTAAGTGCAATTAATTTTATTTCTAGTTTACATTTGAATTGAACAATCGACTTCAGTTCAATAGCTTTCCATTGTATCGACATCCATTTTGTAGTAAATTTCCCTTCAATCCACCCAATTCTACATCTACGGTTCTTCTTTTTCCTTGTTTTTGATTGTTGCAACCAACCTTAATTTAAAGTAGAAAATAAAAGAGAGCAGGGAAGTGAAGGTGAGAGAGGGAAAATAAACAGAGATCGAGAGTTGGAAATAATTGAGAGAAATATAGGACCCATTTTATATTCATTTCACATATTATGTTATTATACATATCACATCAATTTTAAAATGAATACCTGTTAAACTTACACATCATTTTTTGTCATGCTTGTGTCATCCTATTATGCTTCCATATAATTTTAGCAACTTAATTCGGATAGTTCTTGGTAAGTCCAAGAAACTTCTAGAAAAGCTGGCAAACTGTGATGTAAGTATTGTTCAGTCGTGTCATCCTTTGTGGTCATATATCTGTTTCCGACAAGAATCACTTCTCTGTAAAAAAAAAGGATTAAAATTAAATATGTGATCTGCAAATACTCAAAATTTACGGCGTGCTCTATTTAGACTTTAGTAAGTAACCTAATTTTTTAATTTCGGCCATAGTTTTGGTGGACGAGTGGACCTTCAAATTACATCACACATTTTTCATCTCTAAACAAAAGTTGGTGGGGTTAAGTTATCAGTATTCTTTACATGTTAACGTGGCGTACAATTCTCTTCCATACGGATATATCTACCAGAAGAAAAAACATAACATAAATTAATTAAATTGATCAATGTATAAATAAGGTAACGTACAACAGGGTTTGCTGTGAACAGATAAACAGCCTTTCTCTTCTATTAGACCAAAGTCATATCCACCTTCATCTAATACTCCTTAATATCCCTTCGTACAACGTCTTAGAGATAATCAAAAAAAGATAACAAAGTTCAAAAATTTGAAATTCATCTCAATTTTATGATTATGGCTTCCATTGTATCGGAATTCGAAGGAACTCTCTTAAAAAATCCCGACGTTTTCTCCTACTTTATGCTCATAGCATTCGAGGCTTCTGGGCTCATCCGGTTCGCCTTGCTTTTGGGCCTATGGCCCATTATACGACTCCTTGAGGCATTAGGCCGAGAAGATAATGGGCTCAAGCTCGCCATTTTCGTGGCCACTGCTGGATTGCCTCTGTCTGAGATCGAGGCTGTGGCCCGAGCCGTTTTGCCCAAGTTCTTCATGGATGATGTTGATATCGAGGCATGGGGAGTTTTTAGCTCGTATGATAAACAGATGGTTGTGACTCGAATGCCTAGAGTTATGGTGGAGATGTTTGCGAAGGAGCATTTACGTGCGGATAGTGTTGTCGGGAGTGAGCTCTCGACAAATCGATTCGGGTTGGCCACGGGTTTTGTGAGGGACGATTTTGGCTCGATAGGTAAAGGTGTTGCTAGGCTGTGTGAGGATGAAGAGCCTTGCTTGGGGCTAGGGAGGGATGGTTCTCGTTGTGCCTCCTTCTTCTTACCATTGTGTAAGGTGAGTTGCTAACTAACAAAACCGATCAATTTAATTAATTAATCAATTAATTATTTGCAATATACGTACCTTTAATTAATACTGTAATATGTATTTTATTAAATAATTTTGTGCTAAAGATTGAACGTGTCTTTATCAACTAACAATTTTAACTAAAATTATTCAAGAAATTACTTCCGAATTTTATTAGCGTTAATCCCATTCTATATAAAATAAAGGGAAAAAAGTTTTTAACCTCTCAAAGTATGNTGCCTTCCAATGTAATCGAAACTGATAATTTACCTCTTCGATTAAAAACTCTAATATGATATAAAAGAGTTTTTAACTCAATTAATGATAAATATTAAATTAATCTTTAAAATTGATTTAGGGCTTTTAAAGGTCATGGCGAGACGAACAAAATGAGGTATGATTTGTCTAATTCTGAAAATTGATACCTCTTTAATCGATCCATGAAGATAGTAGGAGGACGTAAGTATAGAAAAAATTTCAATTCAAGTTTTCTGATAATCAAGATATCCGATTTTAAATTGGGAGGTGTCATTTGAAAGCTAGTAGGACAAATTTTATAAAGCGTAAATCTTATGAAAACTACTGATCGATCAATAGTTAGTTTTTTTTAGGCTACTAACCAAAATCCGACCGTTGGATTTTCATAAGATTTACTTCGATAGAAAAATTGTCCTCCAAACTTACGTAAAATTAAATATCCACAACTTAATATTACAGGAACGACTCCACCCGCCATTCACCGGCGCCGCCACAACCCGCCGGCCCCGCCCCGTGATCTTCCACGACGGCCGCCTCGCCCTCCGTCCATCCCCCTCGGCCGCCCTCCTCATCCTCCTCTGGATCCCCCTCGGCTCCCTCCTCGCTTTCATCCGCATCTCCCTCGGCCTCCTCCTCCCCATGCGCGCCACCCGTGCCATTGCCCCTCTCCTCGGGGCCCGCGTCACCGTCCGCGGGTCCCCACCGCCCCTCGGCCTCAGTGGCGGTGTCCTCTACGTGTGCACCCACCGCACTCTCATGGACCCCGTCGTCCTCTCGTCCGTCCTCGGCCGCCGCATCCCCGCCGTCACCTACTCCATCTCCCGCCTCTCCGAGATCCTCTCGCCCATCCCCACCGTACGATTAACCCGGGCCCGCGAGGTCGATGCCAGCCGGATCAAGCGCCAGTTGGACAACGGGGACCTCGTTGTCTGCCCTGAGGGGACCACGTGTCGGGAGCCTTTCCTCCTCAGGTTCAGTGCCCTCTTTGCGGAGCTCACGGACCGGATAGTGCCGGTGGCCATGAACTACCGGGTCGGGTTCTTTCATGCGACCACGGCACGCGGGTGGAAGGCTATGGACCCGATATTCTTTTTTATGAACCCGAGGCCCGCGTATGAGGTGACGTTTCTCAACCAGCTGCCGGCAGAGGCCACGTGCGCGGCAGGGAGGAGCCCGCACGACGTGGCAAATTATGTGCAGAGGATATTGGCGGCCACGTTGGGATTCGAGTGCACAAATTTCACGAGGAAGGATAAGTATAGGGTTCTTGCCGGCAACGATGGGATCGTGGCGCAGGGGTCGTCTTTCTCGGTGAAAAAAATTGTTGATGGTTTGAAGGAGGTGGTGGGCGCGAGTTTTGGTGTCAAAATTGAATTAAATTAAGTTGCAGTATTTCTTTTCTTTTTTATTTTTTTTTTATTTTTTTGCTTTTGTTTTGTCTTTTTTTTTTCCCTCTCTTTCAGGATTTTATTGTAAGTGTTTTATTTATTTATTTTATTTACTTGAATTGTTGGGAATTATATTGCAATGACACATTGTATTATTGAGGTGTGTAATTGACGTCGTATATATTAATTTATAATTTTGCATTTTTTTTATAATATTTCCAATAGCTTCTCATCTTTATTTGGAGAACTATTTGGGATTTTGGTGTATATGGTTAGTCAATTGTACTTGTAGATTAACTCATTCTTTTTTTAATTTTTTATTTTTTCTGAAACAAGGTAAATTAAATCAAATCTGTATCCGTTGTTTGAATAAAACAATCTTGATAACTAGACAAGATGGGTGAGCATTAGCCGGTACGGTTCGGAGATTGATAAGATTGATAAATCTCCGGAATCATAGCGAAATTCGGAGATCATTAAAATTCAATGTCCGGAACCGTACCAAAAAAAGTCGATTCGGTTCGTTTCGGAGATTTTTATTTTTCGGTTCGGTTCGGTTTAGTTCGGTAATCGGAACTATTGGAATGGTTCGGTTTGATTTAGTTCGATTCGGGATATTCTGAGATTTCTAATTATTTTTTAAGTTTTTTTGAATGATCACCATGTTATATTTTATTTTTTATATATATTTTTTTTAATTCAATATTCATCATGCTAAAGATTTTATTTTAAAATCAACTTTACAAAATAACTAAACTTGTGCAACTAACATTGAAAATTAAAATTCAAACAATATATAATATAGTTTTTACATTAAAGTAATATTTCTTTAGCTTTCCATATCATGTTAATTATAAGATAGAATGAGACTAAGTATCGAAAAAATTAAGTAAAGTTTAAATATTTTTTTAAAAAAAAATATTTATTTAACCTTTCATTCTATTTTAAATATTTTTTTTTAAATAATTTAATTATAGATCAAGTATCACTAAGCATGAAGTTTAAGTGAAGCTTAATTGTTAATTGATATTACTGTATTTTATTTGCATTTTAAAAATTCTCAAATTATATAGGATCAAAGTTGGCATAAAATATATTAATAACACACATCTATTTTTATAATTCGATTCTTAATTTCAGTTCGGTACGATATTGGACGGTTCAGTTCGGTTCGATTCTCGGTACGGATATTTGTAAAATCTCCAGAATTGTACCCTTTATTTTTTCGGTTCGGTTTGGTTCGGAGAAAATCAAACGGTCAACGGTTATATTTTAGTTCAGAGTGATTTCGATTCGATTTCCGAAACGGTTCGAAATTTTCTGAGTACCATGCTCAGCCCTACTAGACAAGCCCAACATGTCTCACCCAAGTTAAGGATTTATAAACACTTGAAGCGTGGCTTCACTATTTCGCGGTTTTGATTTTAATTTAGGCAAGTCCGAGTTATTTTAAATAAAATCAAAATGTGATTTTATTGGTTAATTTAATATGATTTGTAGAAATTGGGAATAAAACAAATGGACTAGGGGTTTATTCAAATATTATAAGGTTAAATATTATATTTGAAATTTTGAGAGATAGTAAAAAGTACAGCAAAAACAATGTAAATATAGAAAAATGCTACGGTCTCGTTACGGAACCATTCCGTCGGGATTTGTAACCGTTATATCATGTAACCGTCGGGAATAGTTGATCTAACGATTACAAACCTCGACAGAATGGTTCCGTAATGAGACCGTAACATCTCCCATATATATGTATGTATATATGTACTGTATATATTCTTGAGCCCAAATGATTCTAAATAAAAGCTCAATTTCTCATCCACTACACAGTCTCTCTTGAGTCTACACACTACACTCCGCTGCCAATCATCTCATGAATCAGGAATATTTGGGAAAATAAAATATATATATGACAGCCCCAAAATTAATGAAGACTCAAACCTTGCTCTCCAACTTATCATCTTCTTTCATATCAACATATCTCGCTCATTCCAAAATTCCAACGGTCAAATTCGTGAATCTTATAAATTATAAATTATAATTTTATTGTAAGAATTAAGGGTAAAACGAGTGCAGTCCCACGCAAATGAAAACCAATTGATGGACGAGGGTAGTGTTGGTGGAAGAGGAGTAGCTCACTAAACTTATAAGTTAGGAGAGTAGTCCACTAGACTTATAAGTTAGGAGAGTAGTCCATTAGACTTATAAGTTAAGCTGGAGTTCCATCTCAAAATCAATTGGTGGAAGAACAAAACCCCGACTAGACTTATAAGTTAGGAGAGTAGTAGCCCACTAACCCAAGCCCAACTGGGCTTGGTTGACGGGCACGTCATAACACGCTCCCACGTGGAACCGACTCTGATATCATGTAAGAAACGAGTGCGGTCTCACGCAGATTAAGCGCACCATAACAGAGAAAACTCAGATGAAGCTCAAGTGAGATCCATCCCAAAACCAATTGGTGGAAGGAGGAGTAGCGCACTAGACTTATAAGTTAGGCCTATTTTTCCTATATAAATGACTTACAAGTGGTATTATATTCTAATGTTTATATTATTTTTATAAAAAGAATATTGGAATATTAGTTTTGTCTAGACATTATCTTTGTGATAAGTTTTTTTTTTAAAAAAAAAAAGTTACTCGGTTTTAGCTTTGTCGAGAGGTTGTAATATTTTATAAATTATATATTTTTTTTGAAAAGCAATGCTGGATCGGTGTTGGTATTATTTACAATGTATTATATTATTTCTTTAAAAATAACGAAGTACTTGGGATATTATTTTTATATTGACCAAGGGCATAATAATTTTGCTAACCACTCTGGTCAGCCGCCTGAATTGGCCTATATGCTTTATCAGAATAATATGCATCGGATTATGCCTATCACAGCCGGCTCTAGGGGCAAGCAAGAAAGGCAGTTGCCTAGGGCCTCCATTTTGGGAGGCCACACAATTTTTTTTTAAGAGCAAATTACACCCCATACTAATAGAATTAATTATATCACTTTTGGACCCCTTATATTTTTATTTTTAAAATCACCTAAACAAGCTAAAAAAATTTCAATTATACCTAATACACACTGGTTAACCGTTATTAACTTTTTTAAATGGTAATGAGATATTCAAGTGAATTAAAAATGCACTTACCTAAAAAAGTGGAACAAAAAAATTCAAAACATCCTGCCAAAACCACCCCACCGCCCCACTCGTATCAATCTGCAAAACTGCTCCAGAAAAAATAGAAGAAAAAGCATGGAAAAAATGGAAGCGGATCAAGGCTGCACGACCCCGGGGCACCCGGAGTACCGAATTCCAGCGCCGCTGCTGCCTCCGGTGACGCCGAGGAAGTAGAAGGTGCGGGCGGAGAAGAGGGACTGCCCGGAAAATGACTACCTAAAGTTGCCGGAGGTTGATGCCTTCCTAGCTGAATTAGAAGCGACTAAAGAGTCTGAAAGTGGATGTTCATATTTTGGGGCCGACTCTGATGAGATGTCCAAGGAGATTGAGGATGATAATTCCAGGCATAAAGCAAAATCGGACTCTCTTTCTGATGATGGTGTGGTACTAGATGGAAGTTCATCTTCTAAATCATCTACTTGTGTTTTAAAGTAAAAAATGCATTCTGAGAAGGATCTTGATAATCCCAAGCCCACTAAATCTCAAAGGCCAACCAATGATCCCTCATATTTATCATGCCAATATAGTGAAAGATCATTCTGCGGGATTGCAGATTATTTACCCGACGGCTTCTATGATGCTGGGCGAGATCGACCTTTTATGCCACTTGGCAACTATGAGCAAAATCTGCACATGAACTTGCGGAAAGTTGTTCTTCTTGATCGGCAAGTGGTTTCCCCCCATTGCTACTAGCTTTTATTATTGAACTGAATGTCTTACTGTCACATAGTGGGATGCATTGGGATGAAGGCCCTCAAGATAGATTTATAATTATGTCAATGGCTATGGGGACATGTTCGTGGAGCTTGCCGTTGATTGATTATTAGTTTGTTAATTTCTAGGAGGTGGTGCAGATAAAGTTATTGTAATTTGATTTGGTTGAATTTATTATTTATGAAGAATATTTTTGTAGCCTTTGTTTTTTGGATTTATTTTAGAGTGTATGTACAGTATATCTACAATATATGTACTAGTATATGTTTACGGCAGTATATGTTGGATGTTTGCGTGTATAGACATGTAGTATATGTGGTGTGTATAGGGAGTATATGTTCAGTACATTAGAAGATTTTTTTGTAAATTGTTCGGTACATGTGTGTGTATAAGGAATATATGTTTAGTATATTAGAAGATTTTTTGGTATAGGTCTATAAACTATATATATACTTTTATGTATAAAAGTAAAAAAAAAAAAAAAAAAAATAATAATTTTTTGATTGAAGACATGTTTTTCATTGCAATTTATACTAAATATATACTAACATAAACGCAACATATGCTACTGGACAGCTGCGTGAATTACAATACATGCTTTTATCTCTCTCTATTAAAAACGTACAAGGTGTGCGAATTAAGGAATTAAAGAAATTATTATAAGCATATTTTCATTTCCCTCTCCTAATCAATCCTATAAAAAGGGGGATGGAGGTTGAAAGGATATGGTAAATAATTTAGTCATTAATATAGATAAATAAGGTGTTTAGGTAAAGACACAATTATTAATATAGATATGGTAAAGTTGTAAATAAGTTAAAATCACGTAGCATGCGTGAAAATTTCCCTTTATTTAATTGTATGTATTTGTTTGGGCGTGGCCCATTTACAAAATTATTAAAGCTAGTTAAAAGTAATAGATCTTAAAATAATTGGGCCTCCTCTTCTCTACTTCAATTTTCATCAAAAGAAAATAAAATAATATAAGGTTGATTTGTATCTAATCTCCTAAATTCGGAATGACCCTGATATGGGGTTATCAATGACTATGACCACCTCCCATTTCCGGATGGAGGGTTGGGTACTCTCATCTTTATTACACGTCTTTATAACACAAAGGTAACTGCGTACATATGCATAAATGGTCCCTTTACAGTGTTCGACACGGCAGCTGTATATGATGATGTACTCATATCTATGGTCCCTTCCACATTTTGGTTGATAATTGGTCCTCCAACTGTATACAATCATACAGTATGTATACTGTATCTCTCTTCATCCCTTTCTTATCCAGTTGAAGCCCCAACTTTTCATAATTTCATTTTGATCCTTTCAATCTTGCTGCTGCTTTTTGGTTCTAATGCAGTTTGTACTTGGTTGTAATTTGTCAGTCTCTAGTCTTGTGCTTTTGCGTATTTTTACAAATATTGTATTAAAAAGAATGTTTATTTGTAACACTAAACTATGTGTTTATCTACTTAATTACTACTTAACATTTTCATTTAATTATGTAGACCATTAAACCATATATTAGTCTCTGGTTACCAGAAATTAGTTATGCGTACGAGGTACCTGACCAATATGCTCCCACGGTCACGAACAGCATTACATATAAATAGTATCGGCTGCATTAATAATCTCAACTGTTCATTTGGACCTTACTAGCTGATTCTGTATTAGTTAATTAATTGATTGATTAATTACCTAACTAATTGCACCTACCTATTTTTTAAGGTTTCTGCGCCGATAAACTATAATAGCAAAGAACATCTAATACATTAAAATAATATTGGTCAAAGACAACTCACGAGAAAAATTTAATAAATACAGTTGGAACAAGTTATTGAATATAACTAGTACAGAGCTCGTGCGATGTACGGGGTGCACAATTTTAAGGCTATTTATTCAGACTTATAATTATATAAATAAATAAAGAAAGATGTACGGGATATATATAGTACGTAACTCGTGCAAAGCACGAGATATATTTATTTGAAGGATATTATATTATAAGATGCAATATATCAATAAAAGTTTATAATACGCAAGAAAATTGTACAATGTTCAATAAAAGTTTTATAATATTCAAGTGGAGTCTTAAAGTCTCTTGTACTTTAAGACTACTGACAAAATAATATTTTAATCAATGAGTTTCATTTCCTTGTAGCCAAATTGTGAATGCGATTTGAGGAGTACAACAAATCGATATATAGCTGACTTGCTTTTTTCATTGTAGTTTTTTTTCTTTTTTTATAATGAATTTAAAGATATTCTAAAATATAGCAAAAATTATTTTTTTTTATTACAATTAGGAATTTTACTAAATATAAACTCTCAATCTATGGTGTTAATCGACGTTTAAGTCTAAAAAATTAAAATTTTTTACCTCTTTTAATCAACGTTTAAGTCTAAAAAACAATAGAGTTATTATAAAAAAAAATTTCTACATCTTTTAAAAGATTAAATATGAGCATGTTAGGGCTAGCTTGTAAAATAATTAATATATTATCTCACTAAAATATTTATACTAATAAAAATTAATTTTAGCATATAAATTTATCCCTTGATATAAGAGAAAGTAACAGTTTTACTTATTGTTATTCACCATATAATATTTAATTATTAATTTATTATATAATTAAAATAAATATTGTTAAATAGTGTAGTAGAATTGTTATAAAATTATATGACTTTTTTTTTTACAATATGGATTTAATATTTTTTTATGATTTGATAATATAAACAAATCTATACTTAACTTTGACAAATAAAACAAATAAATACTTTAGTAAGTATTTAATGTATATA